CTTTCCCATGGGAAAGAATCTTTTACTGTAAATGAAATTGACATTTAATAGAATTTTATACATCATTTGATAGATGAAAACCTTGACTTTCTATTGTTTTTAGGTAATATATAATGAAATGTAAGAGAGAACTATCAATGAATTCTGAAAGAGAGGATGTGACAGGTGGGGTCTGAGTTTCTATTTGATAGCTCTGTAACCAAACAAAATTGAAGACTATAAAAATTATGGTTTGTCTGAGCAATACAACTTTATAGAGTAATTTACGTTTAATTTCATACTTTTTCAAGGGGTGGTGGATAAAATAGGAATGATGACATGCTAAGAGAAAATGTGTCATGTGGATCACACTAGTGGAAATTCAGGATTTTTTTTATATTGCCTTGTAAAATTAAGAACTTAAAACTTGTATACCATTAAACTATGGATTATTAGCAAATATTTTATGCTATTCTAATTGGTATAACATAAAGTAATTGAATAAAATTGTGAATGCAAGACACTATAACCTTGTGTCATGTGCAGTATAGGATACCCATGGTGATAGGGTTAATTGACAATCTATTTGTTTTAGTGAGAGATTTGATAAATATTATTGAAGGTTTGATTAATGAACAATTGCTTGCTTAGAATGAAGAATTTGATTCCTTTAATGTAGAAACTATTCAAGATACTTAGGGTACTTTCAGTGTCGATGAATATTTTGATATTTTGTATTAAAGTATTGTATGTGTTTTAATCTAAATCACTGAGTCAATTCTTTATTATAACTGTAAACTTCCTCACGTTGGTGATTTGTGTACCTTACTCATAACTGCATATCTGGAGTTAACTAAATTTCATTTGTAACTGGTGTTGAAGTCGAACCCCAAATGACTCGCCTACATGGCCTCCCATTACAATTATAATCATAACACTTTTCATGATGACCACATAATCACTGGTTTCAAATTTGATAACAAGGAACCCACTTTGAGACTAATAATGCTTGGAGACAGCTTGAATGGATAAAGAAGAAAAACTTTAATATAAGTTTAACATAAGAGAAAATGTACAACATTTCAACAAGGTTTTGTCATCATCAGGTACAAGTAGTTTACACTGACACAAACATATATATATATATACACATTATGAAACAAAGATGAAGAAATCAACCACATAAAGCATTCCTTCATTCACAACAACAAATTTCCACCAGCTATTGTTGAAAAACTCTCCAACATTCACCACAAGAAAACTCAACTCACGTACAAAATTGATACTAACAAACCCAACAACAGAACATTACACTGCAGCTTACCCTTTGTCCCTGAAACCACTTGGACAAAACTAGTCATTAGACACAAAATTCCTGTAAATGTCAAATTCTCTCAGAAACCCAGTCCTAAATTAAAATCGTTACTAAACAAAAGTTATTTAGAATCACATAATACCAATGTCATTTACAAAATAACTGCCCAGAATTCTACATTGGAGAAACAGGAAGAAAATTGGAAACCAGATTCACAGAACACAATAAAAAAAAAACTGTTCCATGTTTTCCACCATTGCAACTCAAAAAAACCATAGTATATCTATTAACAACACAGTAATTCTAAACAAAGAACCAAACATAAAGAAATGAAAATCAAGGAATCCATCTTAATTGAACAAAACAACCCTAATCTAAACCAACACCCTGGGGTGCCAAGATATCTCATCATGTGACCTCTTTGTTCCATACTGTAGATATATATCTGTCAGTGTAAACTACTTGTACCTGATGATGACAAAACCTTCTCAAAATGTTGAAGATTTGCTGTTATGTTGAATTTATATTAAAGTTTTTCTTCATTACCCATTCAAGCCATTTTTAAGCATTATTAATCATTTGTTTGTCATCATAAGATCTAGACACTGAACAAACATTGCAACTTTGCATTATTGTTTTGTGTTATGTCAGTTGAAATTTTATAACTTTATATAGGCTTATTAGTGTTATTTGGCAATTCACCCGTTCTGTCTGTTTTTAAATTACCTATTATTTTTACTGTAACAACATGTCCCATGTAGTGTTACATTCTGCCCCAAATACATTATTAGAGATTGTTTTGGTTCTAAATATAATTGTATCTCATGAATGAGAGAATGTGTAAAGCTGATATAGGTTTTTCTGTCAATAAACATATTGCACAATATAATTGCAATATATCTTCTTGTTATCTCCTGTACCTCCCAAGTGAAAAGCAAATTCTGAAAAGTAATAACTATTCTTGGTCTCCCCTATTCATTTACCACCATGTGAAAACAGTTCACATATAAAAATTCTAGACTTTACCTTGAACTAATACACACAAAAAAAGCAAACTTTGCCTCTAAAAAGTGGAGGTGTACAAATTCTAATAAAACGTACAATATAAACAAAATAAAATATAGTAAAAACATTACATTTTCTTGATGTTTATGTTTTGTCATATTTTTTTCAGTGAAATTATGTTCCTTGATTTATTTGTCCAAGTCTTTCATACACACACACACACACACACACACACACTAATAAAAGCCTGTGCTTTTACTCATAATCATAAATGCTTACTTTAATGTTATTTTTAGCATGCTATTACTTAAGTATTCAAAACTACAAATAACTGTGGAGGCTCAAATTGGTCAAAACAATTCAAATGACAAGATATTGTTTTTTGTTAATACAACAGTTTTTACATGTAAAAACACTGATTACTCTCAGATCAGTTTGGATGTGTAAAACTAACATAAAGAAAAGTTCTTTGCTGCAACACTGCTTGTAACAATCTCTTCATATGGGTATCTTCTTATTGGTGCCCTGCAACATGTAGAATTCAAATAATTCAAGGAACTTTAAAGTGAAGAAAAAATCCATTCAGTTTTTGTTTTTTTTATATAAAAACTCAAAAATCAGAATTAACTTAGAACAGCTAAAATCTGGATACTGAAATTAATTAATTAATTAACTGAGAGAGTTTATTTCTGAACCATTTTTCTGATTAGCACCTCAAGAGTATCACCTCACCTGCATTCTAATTTTTTTAAACTTTTAACCATTACTAAATTAACAACTAAAAGGCAACAATATAATTGAAGATAATCAATAATACATTTAACTTTAATACAGAAAAATAGCCTGGCAATTTAAAAGCACTGCTTCAACTGAACACAAGTAATAATGAGCTCAATTTTTAATACAATAGCCATTCCATACCTACATACATATATCATCATAAGGACAAAAAGTGTCAACCAGAAATAATTAATACTCCATTTTATAAATATTAAGAATCTTAGTCATTTTTAGCTTGTCATCTTTCCAAGTATTGTTTCACCAAAAGAAAATTATCAAAGTATTGTGCTGTTTGATATCTTTAATCATTTCCTGTCTCTCTACACAAGAGAACTATGGCAATTGGAAGAAGATAATTATGTGCAACATATTTTCTTATTAATCATTTCTTGTATAGTAGTTGGTGAGGGCACATCTCAACTAGAGATAGTTAATAATGCATTTCTGCTTCTTAATGTTGTTGACTATTCTCTTTATTAAGGTAGTTACATATATATTCCGATTCTTTTTCTGCTTGGCCAATCAAGAACAGCAACTGAAAGGAAGATAGAGCACTTCCCTTCCATTTTACCACTTGTAATCTTTTCTTATTTGGTAACTCAAAAACAGTGCCTCAACTAGAGGAACTTACAAGTTTGTTATAGAATACATGCTAGGCAAATGACAAGTTTTGCTATAAATGCAGATAACCAATAAGCTATTCTACTCTTTGATTCTTTAAATAAGCCTATCAACTTCATGGGATCATCTCAACTGGAGATAATTAATAATGCATTACCACATTCTCCATTTACAATTATGTTGCATGTAACTCAAGGGCATTGCCTCAGAGGATATATATATATATATATAATTATTTAATGAATGTATTTCTTGATAAGTTTAGCCAGTCAGACTCTCTACAAATGGAAACTGCCACAATTAGCATTAGTTGATTATTAGTGTTGCTTAAACTAGAAATGGTTAATGATTTCCACTTAAACAGCTAAAAGATCACATCAACTGAATACAATTATTCACAAACTGGAATTTTGTTTTATATTTGTTGATGTTTTTTACCTACCTTTTAACAATGTTAACACCACTTCTACATGATCATCAAGGCAGTTCAACTGGTAGTAGTTAATAATGGGCTCACTATTTGACCCTTTTAATCATTTTCTACTTGTTAATCCTACAGAACATTAACACAACTAGACAATATAATAATACTAATATATTATGTATGGTACATGAAGATAAATTCCACACATCTCTGCATTTTAGAAGATACGTATTACACATCACTACACTTATGAAGATGCATAGCACACTTCATAATATTTATTGACCTAAATATACAGTGTACCAAGTGCTTGAAGATTATTCAATACATCATTTTGTAACTTAACATCATATCACTATATACCTGATGATACAAGTTACTGTGTAAACAGCAGATGCCACTTGCTTCAAGAAGAATATGACATAGCACTCTATAGATGTAAATGAAAAATTATGTCTAATCTCATTATGTTTGTGAAGTTATATGACACACATCACTGTGTACCTGATGATAATGCCTCATGACATTTTTTATATGTGCATGAAGATACATGTACATGCTACCTGTACTCATTACTATATCCATGAAGATAAGTTATGTCACAAGGCATTTTACAGTGCACGCCAGACATCACATGTGAAACTACTTGCTACAATGTATATGATGATATTTGTTATGGAACCTATATGCCACATCTCTATGTATTTAGATATACAGCAGACCACACATTACTGTACACAAGATGTATGCCATAAATCACTATCTACATGAAGATATGTATGACTTTGAAAGAAGCATTAGACAATGTACTTAAAAATACTTGTTGCTATGTAAAATATGATTAACACATTCACTGCCACATAATAAATTAAGTATAGATGAAATTAAACATTCAAGAGGTGCCAAGGAGTAGTCACAGTGTCACAAACTCATGTGCAACAAGAGAAATCTGGCTTTGAAACTTAATTGTCTGTGACCCACCAGTGTGTCACGTGGTCCATAACTAAAAGTCAGTTGTGATCCACCAGTAGGGCACATGGCAGTGAAAA